GCCATAGCAACTAGGGATAGTTACTTACCTTACAAACTAATCTGGCCTCGATCCAGATAGGTACCAGTCAAACGCTGAAACACAGACATTCTACGATATATGCTAAAAGTCAAAGATCTTTCGACTTATTCGGCCTACAAATAATGGCTTCGAGTTTTTCGTTTATATGCAAAGTTTCAAGACCACCAGCAAATCGGTTATATGATATAGATTCACACTATTTTATTTAAGGTGATGAATGATGTGAGTAGAGCTGACGTTTCCTTTGAATTTCACATGTTCATGCTTTCCCGAAATTTGTTCTCATCCCGGCTGCACTGCGGTTTCGACCTTGTCTCAACTGGTCTCATAAGTAGCGTAGTCAATTACTATGATAAATAGAAGTTGGCTTCATCGACAATCTTACCATAAAATGTGATTCTGGAGGATGCAGAGCGTTTCTTGAAATTTACCTCTGCCCTATGAACCAAGGGCACTCGCGGTAATGTGGCAGAGTGGTTAACGTGTTGAGGTTAAACGCTGCATTGTCGTGGTTCGACTCCCGCCGGGGCTGGAGGTCGAAAGTGCAGTCCAGCCTGGACAAGAACAACTTTTTGGAAAGCAAGGTAATGTGAAATTCAGAGGAAATGTCAGCCCTACTCATATCGTTGTGGGAAAATTCAACTACCAGTCCTTCATAACCTTAAACAAAATAGGGTTTTTACATTTCACGTAATAGCATCGAGTTTTCTTTAATAAGAGTCCACAGAGATTGGAGGATGTCAAACAAAATCTAATTGCGAAACCATGTGAAGATATTCTTGAATAATTGCACCCCCATGAAATAATTGTTTTATCCATAATAAAATGTTAGTTTCTGGAAAATCGCTTTGTGATTGCAAGTCAATGAAATTTTAATTTCATATGAAAATATATGAAGACCAAGATATTATGGCCTCTGTTATGGTCGCAGTCTCCTTTCGATAAGAGTGTAAGGAGTAGATAGGTAGACAATTACAGAAAAGGGAGTGATAGGGTAACCGTTTTTGGCAAAACACTTGTCTCCTTGACGAGTTCGTAGCTTGGTGTGGGGAACGACAAAACTCACTGATGATGCCGAGCACATTGCCGGCGAAACGTTTGCAAATGTATCAAGTCCACTGTCTGATGCCTGGAATTATGACAATTACTATGCCAGACGACTTCGGACTAGGTACATTCTACTAAGTCGCCCTGACAACAAGACCAAGTTGCGACAACGAGGT